ATATCATAGCTCACAATATGTGTGTTTTGTTTTCATAAGACTGAAGTAGTTGCTGTTAGAACAACAGCGAGTTGATAGGCCGAAGTGATCGATTTAAGACGGTTTTCACTTAGGTGCTTTCACTCTGTCTCGTTGAGCCATTCCCGTTATCACGTATCAAGGATAATCTGTAATTCTTGACACAAATTGCATACGATAAAACACGTTCTCGGAATCATCGACTTCCAAATGCTTTGTTCTCAAGCTGATTGCGCCGTGATCGCGGCAAGCTACTCCCTCGGACTCGCCGATAATTAGCCCATTAGGAAATTAAAAGTCCAACTGCTGGAAAGGCGAAGTGATGTCTATTTCGCCCGGAGCGCGTTCTGTTACGACGCTAGTCATTACTCCTGTCTGAGCCAAAACGAAATATTCCTCCGGGAAATACGGCATAAGAACCACTTAAGAGCATCGGCCTCCCGTTCACTTTCCTCTCCCGGCTTAGTCCCTCATTCATTCGAATCATAATAATCGTGACGCATCAAATACCGGTTGCTGCAGTTGATGCAAGTTTTTTTCCGAAGTTTCTATTATATACTTGCAAGAAAACCGGACAGACTCGTTAAAACCAGCGGAACTGGCATGATCGACACGACGATGTGAAAAACATGGAATATTTTACACCGCAAGAAAATTATATGCGACACGAATTAATAAAACTAACCACAAGACACGTTAGTGCTTGTGCCTACACCCAGGAAAAAGTTTCTTTGAATTTTGACCTCGCTAGACTTTTTATTTCATTTCAGAGAAATGATTTCTTTACCTCTATATCTATTTATATCTATTTCCTCAAATCCAGCAAATGTTTCAGCAGGAGTACAGAAAAATTTAGTAGAGAGAGATTCAAGGAACTACGATTTTAACGTATCTCATTTGTTTAACCTAAATAAATCTTTTTTTCTGGGTGTAATAATTTTTCCGTCACATATAAATTTATACGTATATATAATTTGCTTTCTCTTTCTTTATGGTAGAGAGAACAAAATTCGAAATCTATTGACGCGGCAGCGGGATATCGCGCGGACCGAAGACTCGGCGATAACTCGGCTAACATCGAATATCCCGAAAGTTTCGTTTCTCTTCTTCGTTCTTCCGGGGCGAGCGAGAATGGCATCGTGCTTCGAGGCGTTTCACGTGCCTGTTGCGTTACAGAAGCTCACGCGGTGCGGCGAGGCGTCTCGCGCTCTCTCTCGCGCGCGCTTGTATATTAAATGGTGTTCACGGTTCACCAGTCAAATTGAATCCCGGGCTATTGGCAGATTCTCAATAAGCCTCAACAATGGACTCTGTTACACGAGCCCCACGTTCTCCGGTTCGCTCTTTCTGTTCTCCTCGTCTCGTCGCCCGTCGTACTTTCGTTCGGCACGTTTTCGCATTTCTCCCCAGGAACGTATCCATCGTGCTTCGCGTTGCTGAGGTTTCGTTTCTACAGTTTGATATCCTTAAAAGTGTTCACCGACAAAGCGCTCGAGATGAAAATTTGTAATTTCCGAGGCATTTAAATATTCTTTGTAATCTTGATGGATCGGTAACTGTACATCGGATTCTTTATCAAGATTCTTGGTCCCTGACGATAATCGTGTTGGGCAACGATATTAAAAGTGAAAAATTATGTCAAGCTCTCTCTCGTACTATACGTTAAGAAAAATTAGTCCATTTGCGCCACCACCTTAATTGCAAAAATATGCCAATAAACATCCTGTTCAATCATTTTGCATTAACAAATAAATGTATAATTCAATCTACATGTATCTTAAATTTCGAATAGTAATTACAGTTGTGAATATTCATCAGAATTTACAGCTATTAATCTATAAATTGAAGAAAAAGTTCATTTTCAGCCATTCCAATGTTTAGCTGATCTAATTATTTAAATATGGTATTACGGAATTCTATCGAAATAAAATGAAAAAAATTCTTTCAAAGGTCATCGCCATCGGAGACTTTTAGATACGTTATTGCTCTCTATCTGCTTTCTTCAATCGCGAATCGTGTGTACGCACTATCTGAATTTTTGAATCAGAAAATAAATCGGACGTGGCAACATATAATAATGATTCGTCAGAACTAAGCTGTGCTAAGTAAATACAGGAAATAAAGGGATATGCTCTCTGGTCTATTCATCGCGAGTTACAATAAATGATAAAACTTGGTGATTTTTAACGGACTTTGAATTTTCCTTCGGATTAATTTTGTTAATGTATACAAGAGGCATTACGATATGAGAATTACACGAATACATTTGGATTAAGATAATGCGGATGAAAGCCACGTAAGGACGAAAGAGGAAAAAATCAGGCCGTCGCGTTTCAGTGAATTTTTACGCGCATTCGACATTTCGCTTGCCGATATATGCGAAGAGCGGATGGTGCGTGCATTGTCTGGACGGGGTTAAGAGGGTTAGACCGAGTTAGGGATGTCATGGGAGGGGGTTGAGGAGGTAGGAGGTAGGAGGGTATCGGTGTAATGAAGAGCGACAGTGGCGCCCCTAGCCATCGCTAATTTGCCGCTAAGTGCCTGGCTTTGTTTCCGTACGGTGATCCCATCGTTCGCAATATCCTGGATCCAAGGCGATGTTCCACGGTGTTTAAGAGAGAAAGCCAAATAACCTGCGGTATTACCCGGCAATCTAGTATAGATCGGACTTGGGAAAAGGGATGACACCGGCGAAGCAAATACACCCGAGGAGAAGACTAAAAAGTGGCCAGATACACTTTTAATTTTAGATTGTCGAATCAAGCAGAAGGTCACTTAAAACGTAACCGGTCTAGACACTTTAGCATGTGATATCTTTAGAGTTTATAAATAATCTTATCTTGACATTATATAAGCGGATAATTTTTATTAATACTGGAATGCCCGCTACGCGCGCCATTTGGCATTGTCCTTTTTTTTATTAAATCGGCATGTATCGATAATATCCTCGTTACAGTACAAATTCTTACAGTTACAAATTCTCTAACCTTCTTTAAGTATATTTTTTTCGCAAACTGTCAAAATTTAATCGTCTCGTCACTGACAGCTCGTAGCACAAAGTGAGCCAAGCGAGACAGCATCACGGGAAAGAGGCGACAATGGCCTTTCCATTTGCTCTCTCTAAAAATTCGCATGGTTTGACAGCTGCAAATAACACGACTGAAACATGCCGTATCGTACAAGCGAGACAGCCAACCAGCATCTCGGAAAAGCGACAAACAACGGTACTTCGAGACTTTCGACTATGGACTTAACACGCCTTTTTTTTATATAGGATTATATATTATATATTATAATATTACGTACAATTTTCTGCCATGTTACATACGCACAGGCGAAACAATTTCTAATGACGATGCAGAACAAAAGTAAATGTCCCGATAAATATCGGGTAAATAAATAGTTTATCAGGTGACGTCAATATATGAAATCATAATTGGTTGTTATTAAAATCGTGATCTCATTGAATCGTAGCAGTGTTGAGCATTTCGTAAAACGACTCAATTGAAAATGATATTAATTGCTATAACAGGTCACTCAAAATGTAACCAGTTGCACAAAGAAAAAAAATACACACACACACACACACACACACACAAGAAAATGTTTGTTACACATGGTACTATTGAAGATTAAATTACGCGATATCAGTACTTGTTCGTACTTCCGCTTTCCATCGACAACTAAGGCATAATCATACGTTATCATACATACGCTCAGATGACGTTGGCTATATAAGGAAGTAACCGGTTCCGACAGAGACAGTCGTTTGTGAACTCGCGATCTAGCGACACCGAGACAGACGAGTGTTCCACTGAAACGTGTTTCACGATGGATACTTGGACACTGTTGTCTCTCGTAGCTGGTGTCATCGCTATTTATTATTTCTTCTTTAAAGACTTAAACTTTTTCGAGAAATATGGGATCATTCATATACCACCATGGCCTATTGTGGGTAATATGGGACCAGTTTTCTTCCGTCAATTGTCGTTGGCCGAGCTTGTCGAAAAAATCTACAACCTGAATCAAGACGCTAAATATGTCGGGTTTTATGACAGTATGAACCCAATCGTGGTGATTCGTGATCTGGAGCTTATCAAGGCCATCGGCGTTAAGAATTTCGAGATGTTCCCCGATCATCGCGCTTTCATCGATGAAGTTAACGACCCTTTGTTTGGCAAGAATCTATTTTCGCTCCGTGGCGAAAGGTGGCGAGATGCGAGAGCTGTACTAAGCCCCGCTTTTACTTCCAGTAAGATGAAGGCCATGTTTAAATTGATGTCCGAGTGTGCCGTCAGTTTTACTGACTTCCTTTCCAAGTTACCTGCGGACAAAACTGTTCTGGAAATGAAGGATTGCTTCACCAGGTACACGAATGATGTAATCGCAACTTGCGCTTTCGGTATCAGCATCGATTCTATGAGGAAGCCTAACAACGAGTTTTACGTTTACGGGAAGGAGGCTACGACTTTCGATACTCTGCGTACTATAAAATTCTACTTCATTAGAAGTATGCCAGTTATCACCAAAATGTTGGGTGTGAAATTTGTCAGTGAGCACGTAGGTCGATTTTTCAAAGATCTCGTAAGGTACACAATACATACCAGAGATACGAAAAATATCGTACGACCAGACATGCTGCAACTGATGATGGAGACCAGAGGGAAAAGGGGAGCCGGAAGGGAATTGACTATCGAGGATATGACCTCGCAAGCGTTCATCTTCTTCTTTGGCGGTTTCGACACTGTCTCTACCTTGATGTGCTTCGCCGCTCATGAAATCGCCGTGAAACCGGATATTCAAGCAAAACTGCGCAATGAAGTAGATGAGGTTCTGAAGACAAACAATGGAGAATTAACCTATGACACGCTGAATGGAATGCAATATTTGGACGCCGTGGTTAATGAGACTCTTAGATTGTGGCCTGTAGCTGTTGCTGTGGACAGAATATGTGCAGAAGATTTTGAATTACCTCCAGCACTGCCCGGAGACAATCCCTACCTCTTAAAGAAAGGGGCGAACGTTTGGTTTCCTGTTTTTGGTCTGCAGCGAGATCCAAAATATTTCGAGAAACCGAACGAATTTTATCCCGAGCGCTTCTTGGATGAGAATAAGAAAGATATAAATTCAGCTGCTTATTTTCCATTCGGAATTGGTCCAAGAATGTGTATAGGTAATAGGTTTGCGTTATTGGAGACTAAAATTATGTTATTCCATTTATTAGCTCGTTGCGAATTAAAAATGTGCCCGAAAACTTCGCATCCGTTGCAATTGAGCAAGACAAGCTTTACCATGCTAGCGGACGGAGGATTTTGGCTCAAGATTCAAGCGAGAGACAATCCTGTATCCTCTAACGCTGTTAATGATAACGCGACTAATGGCCATATTTAATATCACAAGGTTACGAATAAAATTTGCATTTGTAAATATAAATTTGACGCAATATCATTTAACTGATTGTGAGAGAAATAACGTTTGGATTTATTTGGATACGCACCAGTAAATAGTTTTGCTTTAAATAAGGTTTTTGTTATAATAATCAAATCAATCGCAAAGCAATAATGTTTCCATTTGCTTAATTTTATCTCTTTTTATTATCATTAACGTTTCACTGAATATGACATTAACTCTTAATCTGTTCATTTTTCATTTATATTAGTACAGTGAATGAATAATTTAATATAATGCAGTTTTTTATTAATTAATTCTCCAGTGTATAAAACTTTTACATTAAAGCACAATTTAAATTTAAATTAGTTTAAATATAATGTGCTAGTACAATAGAATTTTCATAGAAAGCGAAAGATGTTTTTGTAACAAATTATTAGAATACGAAAGAATATTATTTAAAAATTATATAATGCATAAAAAATTACACAGAAATAGTGTTAAATACATTTATGTATAATATATAAAATAGCGATTGAATACATTACTCTTTAGGCAAACAAAAAATTACTAGTATTAACAATAGTCATACATTTAGTTATAAAGCAATATGCTAGGCCAAATACGTTTAAATATCGTAAAACATACGTTTTACGATATTGTAGTATCTTTAGTTTTTTATAAAAGTATTTGTATTAAAAGATTTATAATTGTAAAGATGATTTTTCCGAACGACTATTCAAGCGAGAAATAATATAAGGGATAGTCATTATTAATTAAAATTTTTTAATTAATAATGACTACATTATTAATTAAAAACGTTATTAATTAAAATTTTTTAATTAATAATGACTATCATAATTAATTTGCCAGATACGGTCAATAAAAATCACTGATGCTAAAATTTTTTAATACTACCAAATACAATTTTTTTTATTTCTCTTCGTCCCTGTCTGGTATTTCAAATCCATAATTATTAAATAAACTCATCACAAAAGATACATTCTTAATATTCTTGAAAATTTTTAAGTTGCTTCATAAGAAAAATTTGTTACATATTTAGTTATATTTCTAAATAATTACTTTTTATTAAAAAAATGTTTCGCCTGATTGCTCAATATGTACAAACACATATGTATACTCGATCATACACAAATTGCAATTTTCTTTATAAATTTCGAAATGTGCAAAATATGTAAAACAATTAGTCAAACTGTTCCTAAAAGCATATTTTGGCATTCTAGCCTTGTCGTAATCTTGTTTTCAACTTCAATCATTGAGAGCAATTCTTATCAAGCAGTTAAGAGTTAATTGAATGATTGCCAGAATGATTGCCAGAATGATAGATTCTCATCTGCACAATGTGACGAAGATCAAGGTTAGAATGATTTACAGTCATGATAGAATAAAAAATGAGAGTAGAAAAGTGAAATTGTAAAATTAAGGTTCTGATGAAAGCAGCAACTAGAATTAACAAAAATTAGCGATAATCAATGGATATCTACATATGTCTGTTACTAACGTATGTCTCATGAAAGACTATCATTGACAGCATTAATTAATTTCGTAATTTGATTTTCTCGTAATTTCGAAATTTTAATAGTGCATCACAACTTACATAATTCGATACTGAATAACATAGTCTAGTAAAATTATTTACATTTATATAAAGAAGCAAAAAACTACGTGTATTTTTCGTTGTTGCTAATAATTCTAATAACTTACTAATCATCTCTTAATCTTGACCACATTATGTTAGCTTAACAGTCCTTAGTACTCTCTATAGGTTTTCATTTATTTATGAGTACAAGCAATTTTATTTATTTATGTATGCAATATAACGATAACAAAGCTAAAAATAAATATAGAAAATTAATAACTTGTACTTTTATAAATCTTCAGAATTGGGTACATTTAAAATTGACCTTTTTCTACTAAAAAGAATTATTTAGGAGATTTCTTTACGAAGAAAAAGTCAAATGTACCAAAGAATCTGTCCTCGAGAAGATAATTGTCATAATATTTTTTTATGGAAATTACTATGTAATTGTGCCATATATACACAGTCATGTATATACATATAGTGTGGTACGTAATTTACTGATGACTATTTATAGTTGACACACATATATAGTATACTTCCATGTTTATACCTTGACGCAATACCTATGTAAATTTCACTAAGGTCATATAAGCACTCTTCTACGAAAAATTGCACAATCATTCTACATGATGTGTCATTTAAATACCGATGCAATTGATGAATAAGTATTTCTATTGGCAATAAGAATAATAATTTATAGATTTCAAATCAAAGCTTTTACACTTTAGATTATCATATCCATATACAGGCATACTGCGCAAAATTGTTACGTAAAAGATATCTTTATTGGTGATAATCCTTTAGTACTTGTAAGAAGCAGCGATGAAGATTAAGTTTGACAAACAAACATAATGATAAGAAATATAAGATAAAGTAAAACAACAAAGTGTTTTATATCTATATATAGCGCTATTTCATAAGATTTCGTTCTTTTATAAGCTGTACAACTTTTTATTTTTCTTTGAATTTAAATGAAATACTTCTAATAATATTGGTGCGCGTTTTCTTTTGATAAAATCTTTTGATAAAGTTGAATACGTAGACTGTAATAATTTATAAAGTAACAGGAATCGACATATTTTTATATGCCACTTATTTCTATTTTATTCGAACTTTGTGTTATTAAATGCTAAGTAAAAAGTATTTTCAAACAGCGTTTCATATATCATTATATAAATTTTAAAACTAAAAGAAATATCTAAGATTTTTCAATTTTTACCGAGCAAAGTATCAACGATTGGTCTTACATAATATAATGTCAGCCTGAAAACTTTTGCATCAGAAAGATTACCGGTATATTACGAGATAGGAAACTGCTGTACGATCAGTTGTCGGCAACGACTCGTGTCGGCAGCATCGCTGTAAGCCACGTTATATAACGCGTTTACAAAGCAATCGTCGAGAGATTTTCAAATAACATTCGCCATGGAGTACTGGTCGATATTGTTATCGATTGTGATCGGTGTGCTCAGCATTGTTTATCTCTTCAGAAATTTTAATTTCTTTAAAAGGCACGGTGTTTTGCACATACCGCCTCTTCCAATATTGGGATCATCGGCACCGATTGTATTTCGCCGAACATCATTCATCGATTTCTTCGTGAAAATATACAATTTCAATCCCAACGCTAAATATTATGGATTCTACGCCACGACAAATCCATTCTTCTTGCTCCGCGATCCGGAACTCATTAAGACTGTCCTTGTCAAGAATTTCGAAGCATTTACAGATCGTCGTGGTTTCGCCGAATTGAATGACCCCTTATTTAGTAAAAATCTGTTTTCTATTCGCGGAGAAAAATGGCGGAACGTAAGAACTCTGTTGAGCCCCTCTTTTACGTCCAGCAAGATGAAAATGATGTTCACGTTGATGTCGGAATGTGCTGTGGATTTTACTAAACTGCTATCGACAATGTCAGCAGACGAAAGTGATATAGACACGAAAGATGTCTTCTCAAAATATACAAGTGATGTCATCGCCACATGTGCTTTCGGAATAAAGATCGACTCCATGAAGTATCCGACGAACAAATTCTTCGTTTACGGCAAGGAAGCGACTAACTTCTTAGTAGGGAGTGGCGTCATAAAGTTTCTGTTTCTCAGAACTTTTCCGAGTCTCGGACGAATTCTCAATCTGAAGATTATAAGCGATAACGTGACGAACTTTTTCAAGAATCTTATACAGACTACGATCGCTACTCGCGATGAACAACACATTCGACGTCCGGATATGTTGCAATTAATGATGGATATTAGAGGCAAAGAAGGTCATAGAGAATTGGACATTGACGACATGACTGCGCAAGCGTTTGTCTTTTTCTTCGGTGGCTTCGATACTACCTCAACCGCGATGTGCTTCGCGGCTCACGAAATTGCAGCTAACCCAGAAGTTCAGACCAGACTACAGCAAGAGATCGACAAGGTTTTGGAGGAATCGAAAGGAGACGTGTCTTACGAAGCCATTAACCAGCTCGAATATTTAGATGCGGTGATAAGCGAGACTCTCAGATTTTATCCACCAGTCCCCTTCTTGGAAAGACAATGCCAAAAATCTTGGGAATTACCACCCGCGTTACCAAACGAGAAACCTTTCGTCATAAAGAAGGGTATGACGTTTTGGATTCCAGTGTATGCAATCCATCACGATGAAAAATACTACGATGATCCGGAAAAGTTTTCTCCAGAAAGATTTTTAGACAATAAGACGTACCATAATTCCTCATGTTATATACCATTTGGATTGGGACCACGAATGTGCATAGCTAACAGATTTGCCATGCTAGAAGTCAAAGTCTTGCTGTTTCACTTGTTAGCGCGATGTGAACTGAAACCTTCTGCGAAAACTATGTCTCCAATAAAATTCCGTAAAAGTCTGCTAGTAGCGCCGGAGAATGGATTCTGGGTGAACATTCAGCCTAGAAAAAATATGCATCCTGTGCTGAAGTCTACAGTCTAGTGGATGGCTAAATCTTACAATTGGAAAATATTTCTAATAGTAATAACGAAAAAGTATATTTGTAATAAAAATCACGTATGTCTAATATTATATAAATCTGGTAGTGCGGTAATAAATTCAAAATTATGTTTTAAAATTATTTGTTGCAAATATTAAGAACTCATATTATTTAAATATAATTTAACGAAGTAAAATCGGGATAAATTATAGCACTTCCTATTTATAAGAATTGTATCTATAATCTTTCACCGTGTAAATGTATATTTTTTATATATAATTCGTTGATTTATGGATTTTTGTAGAAACAAAAAGAAAGGAACGACGAGAATGAATGCACAAAATAGAGAAATGAGATAAATATAAAAGATCGAGATGTTTATTATTAAATAATATTATAACAATTTATATGAAACATACATATTGCGCATTTCTGGATAACTAATTTCTCAGATTATAAATTACAAATACATATAAATATCTAACCGTGTGTCTGTTTAATATTCATAAATATCTCTTTCTTATGTTTAACTTTGTGAAATTATTATAATTGTCATTATAGTTAATTAATTTTTTCTACTTAACGCAATCATGTATTTTGTATGATTATATTAAGTCCAATGTGCCATTAGAGCATAATATTTCTTATTTAAAAGAATTACTTTTTATTTTATTATGTACATGTGATATGCACATGTATTCCGGATATCTTTTATTCAAATAGATAAAACAGTATATTGCTATTATTTTATAATCAATAATTTTAATTGGAATCGCTGAATTGGCGAGATTCCTAATTAA